TTTGATATTCTTCATATTCTGTGTGGTGGTCAGTTCACAGCAGTAACAGAAATTAATCTTTTCCAGTAAGTTTAAATAGATTTTTAACTTTTATGGTAATTTTTACCTTAAAAGACATTTTTTCTTAAAGTGTGCATTATCATTTGAGTCAAATTCTTATATTTAATCAGTCAATTATAATAAGACATTTGGGCTGTTATAAAATGGTCGCAATTTCGAGCCTTGAGTGGCCATTACTGCTTTAATAGATTTTCACAAGATCCCTTTAAGATTGCTAAAAACTTTGTATTAGAGTTATATGGGATGTGTTGAGACTCCTGAAGCTGGAGTATATTAAAAAGTCTGTCAAGGGGACATTTTTATTTAAAGCATGTCAAAAAAAGCAATAAAAGTTATTTCTTTAATAAATTTTAATAAATCTATCTATCAAAATGCTTATAATAAATTACTTGCAATATATATATATATATATATATATATATATAAATGCATCTATGTATGTGTGCGTGTGATTGTGTTTAAATAAGGTTTATATATTCATGCTCTAATACTTGTTTTAATAATCCCAATATGCCAGAAATATGCAGTAATCTGTTGAACATTTAAATGTTATATTTACATTCATGCATTTGGCAGAAGCTTTTATCCAAAGTGTCTTACAGTGAATTCAAGCTATACATTTTTCTCATTATGTATGTTCCCTGGGAATTAAACCCATGACCTCTGTGTTGCTAAAGGCATGCTCTACCAGTTAAACAGCAGGATCAGACACGTTGAAAATTGTCAAATGTTATATTTCAATATCCAGCACTACGTGATGCCCTATAATGAGAAAACGAGCCAAAATAACTGTACACTGTAATGTCTGTGCTTCTTAAGAATAGCAGTACTCATATGTCAAAGACAATAAAGCACTGGCTCAAACCCCATCTAATGTATCTGTTGTGTATCGGATCCCTCATCCTCTAATTCACTCCTCCGAGAAGAGCACACGAGAAGGAGAGAGAGCATGACTCTGTGTATGAAAGAGAAAGTGAGAGGCATTGCAGAGGGATGAGGTCATGTATTTAGCTTGATTGCACCGAGGGCTGATGGCAGCAAAGTCAGCAGAGTCTCTCTGCTAATGGCTTACGTAAGAGGAACGTTTCTAGAAGGTTTCCGTAATGTTGACGCCCTAATGTCTCCAGAAGCGATGAGGGGAACACATCCAACTACACCACATAATACTTGGCCTCTACAGAGATGTCAGCTGACCAAAACAGACCACACCCTGTCATGTTATGACATCATACCATGTGATGTGCACAATCAGCTTCTATGTAGAAGTCACGACTTTCCTTTACGGCTTAAAAGTGGGCAAATTAAAATAAAGAGCTGATTGTGTCAGCCCAAATTATTTCAGCAGCTCAATAAAGGGCTTTTTAACACCCTACAAGAGCAATGACTGCATCTCTAAAGGTCAGGCAGAGTTAAATCTGTTTAGTATGATTTAGGCAAGGGTTAATCTGTAATCTGCCTGAGAAATAGGCAGCCACACGTGTCCTCATTGATTGCCTGCGAGATTAAGCACTAGTTCTTCGCAAACCTCATCTTTTCTATGCTCATCTCCTCAAAACTATCTGCATTGTGAGCGTTTTTTTTTTCCTTCAGGTTATACGTTCTACGAGCGGCTGTGCATACAAAATGTGCAGCCGTGCATGATGTATAAAGTCGTTTTTGAGAGCTGAAGTGTTAATAGGAGAACAAATATGTGTGTGTATATAAGACTCTGAGTCTGGGCTTGCTGAAAGGTGATTTCCTGTTACACGAAGTGCAGTGCACTGGGAAGCTAGCGTCTCTGGACAGAACAGCCTGTCCTCTTAGACTGGGTGTGTGCCGCATGCACAAGTCATATGGACTTAGAAAATTAATGTACACGTATGTTGGCTTACCCAGACCAAGCAGGGAATGATGCTCCACTAGAGACCAGCAGTTGTCATCCAGGCAGTGGTTCTTGTAGACCAGGAACTGACACACATCTCTGGCCGTCATGTCGGCTGGGACTTCCACAACTTTTCCCACACCATCCTCGCTGAAAACCTTGATGATCTGTTGAAGAGACACACAGAATGTCAATTACAGATGCACACGTTGCTTAATATGTCCTCAAGGCGATGCTCTCGATAAGTCTAATTTGTCGAACAATTACAGACAGACTTTCACACAATGCTTCAGCCGGGATAATTACACAGCTTGTGGTTCGACAACTTAGTCCCAAATTGAGTGAACCACAAACGTATGGGCATCATATACAAAGTTTTCAGTTATTTAAAAATACGAATTATGCTTGATAGAGGGGAAAAAAGTTTATTTACACTTCTTTTTCATGTTTTTGTCACTGCAAACCATGCATATCTCTGTTTATGTGGTCTTTAGCTCAATCCATTCTTATCGTGCCCTGCGCTCATAAGCATGACTGACTAGAACACACACGCAAAAGAGGATATTCTCCATTAAGAGGCAGAATTCACGTGAATGCCAAAGCCAACGGACCAGGTAAAGAGAAAGGAAGAGAAAAGGGAGAAATACTTCCAGTGAACGTGCACACAAAACAAGGAATTATATAAATGTATTTACATGTGCAAGTGCACAACTAGACATACGCATTCATGCACAAAAACATTTGCAGCTTTAATTATTATAGACACTTTTTTTTACTAACTACAAGCACAGAGGAAGCTAACAGTAGCGTGCAATTTATGCACAAAGATGATCTGCATGACTAAATTTGAAATCTTTTAGACTGGCATCTGCAAGATGTGTAGGGTTTTCTTGGAAAAAAGTAGTTACTGTCAGTCTTACCTCTACTGCCTGATACAAACAACAGTCCGGCAAACACGATGGCATTTTCACTCTGAGACAACCTCTGCTCACTCACGCGGTGAGAGAGAGTGAGCGAGTTAGAAAGAGAGAAAGAGAGAGAAAGAGGAAGGAGAGAAGGGGAGGAGGAAAGAAAGCGAGAGGATGAGAGGAGTTGAGATTGGGCAGAGGGTTGAGATGAGACCAAGAGAGTTGCTGAAACAAGAAAGGGAGAGAGAACAGAAGGGAGAGAGACTCAACTGACAAGCAACTTGTGCCTTACAATACTCTAGTGGATTAAGCTGTGAGAAAGATATGGAGAGAGATGACTAGGGCTTTAATTTGTCAATAAAATTCATATAATGGGTTTCCCTTCATTCCAAATATAACTTTTATTCTTCTATGGAACAAAAGCAATACATGGGAAAGGACAGCCTCAACAAAGAAAATTAATGGGGACTGAGGCTGTCTTGCTGTCGAATCTTATTCAAATATAGTTGATGTCAATGACGGCAAACATCCTAGATAATGTGACTGTAGTAACTGTATTTAACACATGAAATGTTTTCTACAAACCCTATAACTTCTTTACAATAAATGAAAGACAAATAATACAAAAAAAAACACAATATTAATATATATCAGTGGCATTCCGTCCATATAAGCTGCGAATGCTCCGCATTCCCAGGCCATTTGAGAGAATAAGTACACGGGATAATTCATATAAACATGATTATAAGTTGATCCCATGTCATTTGAAATGTAACTTAAAGCTTAAAGAGTTAGGAATAAGTACGTACAATGATTTTTATTTGCCAAACGGCAGTAATTTTCTTTAAATCTACCAGTTGCGGTTGCTTCCGGGCGAGCGGATTCTCCGCAGCTTTCTCGTCTCCGCTCTGTTGCTATGACTCGTCAGGAATCAGGATTATAGCGCGTTCTCAGTGATTTGCTGGTCTGCGGCATATTTAATGCACAAGGAAAGTAGTCCGCAAAGCGCTCGCCCAAGCGGAAAAATGTGCTGTTGCTGTAAGATATTGGTTTACTGGCCTGCGGCTGATTTCATGCGCGGGGTAAGCTGTCCGCGAAGCGCTCGCCCAAGCAGAAAATCTGCTTTGCTGTTGCGGTTGCTGAAAATCACATTGTGTTTGATGCAAAACCAACTCGACTAAATCAAAAGAAAAAAACACTATAACTGTATATTTTTGTTTTCTCAAGCTAAGCAAATTTTAAAAGTCCACTGAAAACATATCTTCTTACATTTTTGGTTATAGACAACATATGTTGAAGACATACGTTATTGTAAACGTTATTGCCTAAGCGGTAAATGTAAAAAACATTTTATATAAAAACGTGGGCTATATAAAATTTTAATAATAACAAACGTCATATTGTTCCCTTTGTTTTGCGTATGCATGAACAGTTAAACAGTTCGTGTCACTTACAGTTAAAGTCCTTCTCTGATTTTATTATTGTTTGCAAGGTTGCAACATTACTTTGCAATATTTTAAATATTTTTTTGTATTTTGCATGGTCTGTTATTGGAGTAGTGTCACCCGCGTGGGAATTTGAACTTCTATTCACTAGGAACAAAAAAATCATTTAGCAGATGCAGACATAGAGCGGGAGAATCCCCCCCATCTCCCCACCCTCTGATTACGTATCATAACGTAACTACATGTAAACGTTATTTGGCGGTTTTTACTTGGAAAACCAGCTATATTTTTCTTGCATTGGAATAAGGGATAAACTTGAAACGATAGAAGAAGGATTGGAGATGAATTTCATTTACAAATAAGGTAGGAAATGTGCATACTTTTAAATTGACACCTACCATGGTGTTTCTTAGCTATTTGTCATCTGTGATCCTTTTTGAGTGTCCTAAAAGCCGGGGGGGTCTTATCACTCAGCATACCCGGTTAAAAAAAGTCACCGCTCGCCACTGATTATATATATATATATATATATATATATATATACACACTCTTAAAAATAAAGGTGCTTCATTACATATATACATTACATTACCAGTGTTTAACTTAAGATATTTAATATTTGTTTAAAAAAACATAAAACAAAGAATGTAACAATCAACATTAGCCAAATATTAAGCAATTAAATGTATGCAATTGTTTTACTTTATTTTAGTTTTTAAAGTGCAATAAAAACTATACTTTTTAATGGAACAATAAATTAAATTAAATGAAAACTGTAAAGTAAAATAACTAGTAAATAATTATTGTGGATTTCATTACATTTGTATTATTATATATCAGGCTTTGGGAAACTCACATTACCAACCATTAATAACAACAATTCTTCCATCTCTTCCTCTCGCTCTTCCCTTACCTTCCATCATCTCTCCCTTTGTCTCTCCCTCTCTCTTTTCCACAACCTTGCTCTCTGTTTCTCCCCCACATCAAACTTTGCCTTGGCTTCTGTCAAAGTTTCAAATTCTCTCTGGTTCTCAGACAGCCTTGAGACAGAGCCCCACATCCAGCTCTCACGACACACACAGAGTGAGATTTTGTTCTCATTCTTTTTTTCACTCCCATTTCCCCCCTGAAGATTGGCTTTGAACTCCACAGCCAAAGAAAACCGTTCCCTCTCTTTTTCTCAAAACTCAGCACATCACAACTGGAGAGTGTTTCTTAAACACACATGACAGAGGCCAAATCCCAGCGAAATCCCTCCTCCCACAACACTTCCTCAGTAAAACTAGTGATTTTCTTTCTCATAGTCAACATTCTCATTACCTTACCATTTCTCACTATTTGAAGAAATATCTACGTGTTCATTTTAAGTGTGGTAAAGTATAAAAACAAAATCAAAAACACACCATTCCATCCTCTCAGACAGAAGAGAACAGTATCATGTAATCTGACTCGACACCATGAAGAAAAGGATGTTGGGGGTTGAGTTATTGGCAAGACCATTATAGAAGTGGAAGCTGTTTGCAGAGCATTGTTTCATTGCTCATTCTTAGTTATACATGTACCATTCTACTGCTGCAAATGCCATTTTCTACAAGCTTTACGATGTAAGAACGTTTACCCAATGTTGTTCAAACGCATCCTCACAATCGTGTGGCTGAGAGCAAACGTTTGCTCTGCACTGCTCCGTCCCGCCTCTGTGGGTCACATGGGAGGATCTTTAAATGTTAAATAAAGGTTTTGCAAACATTCTGAGGGTCACATGGCAACAAAGTGTTTGTTTGGAGTTAATAGAGGGTTGTTCAAGCATTGCTCGCAGTTTGTATAACGAGGGAAAAGGTAATCCAAAAATAGAACAGAGGTCACAGTATATGGCCAGTACTTCTGATACATTAGGTTCTGTGATTATATATGCACTGATATAGAGAGAGTTATAGACAGGAATACAGTTAGATATAGTTAGACAGAAATGCAGTTGGATGGTTAGACAGACAGATACACGGTTATAGTTAGACAAGTATACAGATAAATATAGTTAGAATATGGTTAGGCATATGGTTAGTTAGGCATGTATACAGTTAGAAATGTGTATAGTTATATTAGGGCCTTTCGCACCGCTTTAGTTCCAGAACTAAATGTACAGTACTAAAGTACTGAGATGATTTTGCGCGAACTATTTCCCAGTACCATTTAAAGGGTTACATTCGCACCGACAGTGTGTACTAAGGAAGTGACGTAAGCCGGTCGACAGTGACGTCATTTGTGCGTGGCGTTCAACAACAGAAACAAAGAAGAAC